GGCACAACTTCATAGATACAATAATTTCTTTCTCACTTCTAGGAATGCAAAAAAATCAATTTGTCATTTAAAATTTATTCAATTCTATTTTTCAATGGAGTCGAAAAATACTGTAAAGCAAAGGCTTACCACATGCACCAATTTGTTTGACTCTAATTTCTGATTTTTCTTCCGCACGCGCAAGACAAGAACGTACGGCAAGGTGACATTCACTGATATAACTCACATTATCAGTACCACATACTGCTGGACCAGCTGTATTACAAAAAGAACGACACTCGCACTCACCACTGCAATTTTGTTCTCATTTGCACAAATTATTCGATTAGGCAACGTTGACACTTGACTGAATGAATTATTGGTTAAAATCAAGGAACATTGTTATTGATATCATCACTGATATTCCAATGCAGCACAGTTTCCTGTTACTGATAGTTAGTTATGAAAGTATCGGTATATTATGAAGCGTAGCATATATCTGTCGTGACAATAATCGTACTTTTGAAAGATTCAAATTATTCAAACAAACTGATCTTAATACAAACATTAATTCGAATCAAATTGTACATAAAGGGCCAATATTTAATGCCAAAAATGCTTTGCTTCCGAAACGTTTCAAGCATCTGCAAAATTTTTAAGGGTTAAACAAAAAGGTCAAACCTATTTGGTCGGCACTTAGCACCATACTGACATCGTACTTCTTCACATTTTGCTAAAAAAAAAGAATTAAATGCACACGATTTTGAGTAATATGATGACTATTGTCCATTTAAACACCATATAACAGACATCTTTTTAAGCCTTTAATTAAAAGTGCTGTTTGAATAGAGAATAAAAAGGCTGTTTTATCCAATTTTCGAGCACTTTACGACTAATCTGGAGCTATTCATACATGCTACCAAGTAAAATTCGCTTACGATCTCGCGTAAGTTTTGAATTGAAATGCCAACTGAAAAGTTTTATGATTTAAATAAAGCTATGCCTAGAAATTCCCGATAATTGGAGCATTTAATAAAATTCTCACTTCGCTTTATGTGCCATTGCCTCTTGCGCACCCAGCCTAAAAAAATAGATAATGAAGAAAGAATCTGAACTGAAGAAATCAATCAAATATTTCAACTCCAACAACATTTGTATCTCTGTTAAGAAAAAAAAAAAAATTTAAACCTAAACTAAAAATATTCTGGAAGATGATCTTTATCGAATTCGATTAGAATGGATCTCTTTAATCTCAAATTTTCTGGAGTTGATCTGCAAATCACTCTGGTCAGCAATTTTTTCTGGTCAGCAATTACATTAACCAACTTAGAAATTGCCCTAGTCAATAATTAAAATACATTTCCATTTAGAAAGAGATTATAGTAATAATGCAAATAGACTACAAAATATTGATGATCAATCAAAAAACCACGGTTTATTTTTATCAATATCTCTTCTGCAACTGTTAAGAGGTATTATTTATCATTTGCTAAATCAAGTGCAAGAAAATATAATTAGTGACTGTCCTTGTTAACATTTTCAGCAATCGAAAAACGGCTTAAAGAAGCTCAGAAAATGATTCAAATTCGAACTTTCGTCTAAGCATTAGCTTATTCTTCAAACGTTAAATTAGGATATAAACATGAAAGAAAATTTCCAGTAGATTGAAAAACGAAGTATTTCCCCTTTTCTTTCATTCTTTCAACAAGAAGCATTTTTCGTAACTCAAATTTTTGTTATAAATTTGGATAAACAAATAAAATATGTTCTAATAATACACACCCGATAGCTCTAAATGTTAGCCAATTAAGAAGAGCGAAAGAAACAAACAAGCAATAAAACATCAAGAAACTATTCATTCGTTAACAGCTGTGAATGAATGGACAATGACTCCCTTCAATGAGATTAGAGAAGTTATGATAACTGGATGCTGTTGTCTGAAGCTCCGCGGTACAAGCATCAAACACAAATTTATGCGCATTAGTTATTTACTGATAAGAATAGGTAGGTAGATACGGAGGAAGAAGTAATAGGCCTGTTGAAGTGAAAGAGTATGGAATGTTTCGAGAGATGTACGAGAAAATCGAAACATAGAAGAAGGAGGATTTAATAGGTGGAAAATTTATATCTAACAGCTTTTTGTTTAATTGTCACGGGTGTGACAACTGAGGAACCGATTTTCCTCCATTTAAAAATTGTTAAAATATTGAGCAAATGATAAAGAAAAGTGGAAAGATTGTTCTCGCATAATTTAACTAATTATTCATGCATTTATTTAATAGGCAGTCTTCAACTGGATCCTCGGAAGACCTGAGCCAGACTGCTAGGATTATGGTAATTGTTAATTTCGGTTCAGTAAAATCAGGACTAAAAAAATACATATATTCATAAAAATTTGTCGCTATATGCTTGATTTTACCGATATTAATGTTAGCAATCCAGCCTTGTTCCTGCATTTTTCAGGTTCATTCTGAAAAAGAAAAAAGGAATACAAAGAAGAAGATTACCTTGAAAGCGAGCATTGAGCTGATCGAGAACATTCAGATTAATGGGAACCAGAGATGAATTAAGATAAAACAATCCATTAAGTTCGTTTAAGAGGATAATCTTCGTATCCCGTTCATGCAAAACACTTCGACAAATCTGCAATCAGATAAATATCATAAGAGAAACAAAAATATACTTTAAAATAAAATCAGTTAATAAATCCACTCTTAAATTATAGAATTTCCAAACAGAATCACGATCCCATTATATATATAATTAATTATCAAACAAATTAGCTAAGTATCTTCTTGTCCCCTTGGCATACTTTATTTTATTTGCTTTTTCTTCCCTTTTATTAATTTATTTCAGTTCTTTATAAGAAGAATCTGATGAATACAAGAAGCAATTCTCAAACGCTTTTTTTAGCGTCAACTTGATATAAAACTCAAAGAGCTTATTTTCACTACCAATAATTAATAATTTATTTAGAATTTATGGAAGAAAGTAATCGATTCATTTTATCTAAACAGCTCTCTTCCCTTTGCTTCCAGAATTTGTCAAGTTTACTGAAAATGTTTCTTGCAAAGCAAATCTGATCTTACGGTCTGGGAACATTTGTACATTTCAATATTTGAGAAAAGTTTTCAAAGTGAAAAGAATTAGAAATCCATTCTCAAATTTCTCCAAATTTCGCTAAACAAAAAATGTTGGGTTGCCCAGGTGGAAATGAAAAATCAATGGTATCAAATATAAAATAAAATTTGAAATTCATCCCAAGAAGTTCAAGAAGGAAATATTTACCTGTGCGCCGCCTAATCCATGAATGACTATTTTCTTCCTACTGTTGATAATATTGAAACCTTTGAAGATTCTTTTCACTCTAACTGTGGCAGTCTGCAAATAGCACGAAAGTCAAGCGATAACCTCAATGATCAACACATAATGTAAACAGTTTAAAGCAGATGACTGTCTTTTCTTTAGCAACAGAAAAGGATATTGAGTATAGGATATGTAAGTATACAATGGAATTAATACAGCATAAATCAAAGGGGAAAGTTTGATCAGCACAGAGCGAAGATGTCGTTTTAGATGAATAACGCGAAGATGTCGTTTTAGATGAATAGCTATGGTAGTCAACATAATTGTGTTTCTATTGTAATCAAAATTATCAGGTTGTGGAAGTGCAAGAAGGCTAAATATTCATTGAATTTTACGAAATTTTTTGAAAAATTTGTAAATTTGTGATAAGGTAATTTAGTAGAAATAAATATTGTCGAAGGTAGGAATGTTTCTGAATAGGCCATTATCAGTGATAAACTGCTCGATAAGATAACGATAGTAGAAAGGAGAAACTTTAGCAGGTGAATAGGAATATGTTATGGTAATCCATCTGTCCTGAAACTGCTCCATAAAATCACTGTCGTTTCTTCATTTTTGAATAAATTAATTCAAGCACCACATGAAAATGTATTTGAGCAAATAAATATATTTGTTACTTTAAATGTTTGTCTAATTCAACCCTTTCCTCGCCTATTTATCATCCCTATTTTATGCATTCCTTTTTTTTGCAAATGTGTTGTTTAGAAGAGAGATAATAGTTTTGGTTGCAGAAATTGATCTCTTGAAAGATGACTAGACTCTAGGCTTATTTATTTGAATGTGTAGTAACCATGAATTGAGAGGCTTTTTAACATTTGATATACCATTTGGATAAATACCAGTGTTAACAGTGTATCCAATCGGTTCAAGAAATGATCCCAAATTTGCAAGCAAAAAAAAACTAATCGATTTTCCCTTATCAGTAATGAAGTCAATCGTATTACAAGCATTTGTGACAATATGCGACCTGAACGGATACATAAGGTCCCAAAATATATCTAAGTGTGTACAGTAACTATGTTTCGATTAGAGCTCCTAAAACTCTCAATTTAACAACTCAAATCAATAACTTATTCTTTGGATATAGTAGTATAACTCCTACGATTCGGAATTAATTACCGAAAGATTGAATTGCACTGTTCATTGTGCATTGCCAGAAGGCAACAGTTTTTTTCTAAAGAATAAAGTAGTAATTTTTTTTTTGTTTTTTTCAAAGAATAAAGGAGAATTCGTCAGTAACAAAGAAAGGATAAAAGAGAATAGAACGGTACTTGGTGAGGTAAGAATTGGTGGTCAAAGGTTACGGCTGAAAAGAATGAAAGGATAATTATGTGAATGGATAAGATTTGCATAAGCAGCAAGCACAAATACCTCTCTAAAGAAGAGAAAAACGACTCTTTAGTAAACAAATCGAATATTTGCGAACACTCAAAAAGAACTTGGAAGTGCTCCTCTTAAGAATAACCATTTACTTTATCACCTGCATTATATGAAACTGAGGAAGATATTTTTTCAAAATAGTATGATGACGGAGAGTTCCAATATTATTCGGACAGTGCAGAGTTAGAAGTCTGATTCGGATCTGTGAATTCCAAAAATTACAGTTTAGAGTATTTGTAAATCGATATATTTTGAATTTAAAATAAATTCTGAAAAATTCATTCAAGTATATAAGCGAAAAAAGGAAAGGAAGTAAAAATTGTACAGAATTTCAAACAAATAGTCGCAATAAGAAAATTTGTAATAAGTAGTGATCAAACCACTGATTTTTTGACTTACAGTCGATAAAGAACAATTAAATCTTGAATTACCTGCAGGCGACTATCTCGGGGATCAGTAGTAACATTTAATACAGTTGCACTGATTACGAGTGGCACATGCTGTAGCGAATCATTGAATTTTGCCGGATCAAATAGGCAATTGTAGGATTTATGAGAACTTATTGCCCCCACTATTAGTAATAGTACTAGTAACTGAACGGGAATTTTCATGAATGACATCTGATCTTCGATCTCCCGACGTGACATCCAGAAATTATCTGGGCTCAGTTCGCGACCAGTTCAAATCTTGTTCCCTTATTTGGTGATGTTAATAATAGCCGAAAGATGTCAAAGAGGTGGAAGGCAAGGAACTCCGCCCCAGTCTTATCCAACCCGACACACCCATCACGATATTGAACAAAAGAAGTTTTCTTGGTCTATTGGGACCTATGATATGCCTGGCCAAGTGACTGGTTGATTTTGGAACAATATGGAAGAGTCCAAATTACAATTTTTCTGCAGTTTATACAAATTTCGAAAATTTGTCAGAAGTTCGGGTTTTTGCTTAATTCGATGTACTGCTCGATACGCTTCCGAAAAAGTATATCGGAGTACGAAATCTTGAAACAATTATAAATGTCGTAGTTTTTGACTCTCTACTCCCTTCCAGCTAGATCCGAATAAACAATTCTGTCCTTTCCGATATATCCTAGAGAAAGAGGAAAATGTTGCCCAAATATTACGAATACACCTAAATGCTTATATTTTAATTTAAATAAATTAAATGGAAAACAATTAGACAAAAGCTAGTCTCATTCAGAACATTTCAGAGAAAGGAAATGATTAAACAAATGTTGGTACTATGGTTGAGGTAATTATGTGAAACCTATTAGCCAACGTTTTCGCCACAGTAATTAATATAATAGTAATAATTACGATAGAGATAACGACAGTGATATGATAAAAACAACCTTAGTTGCAATTATTGGAATTCTTGGATATGATAAAAATAAAAAAAATAATAATAAAAATAATGCAGTTGTAATTTCTGCAACTCTAGCATTGCTTGCTTAAATATTTAAGTGGGAATAATGATTGCTTGGTCACTGATAACAGCTTGGAAAAATCCAGAAAGAAAAAGTTTGGAAAAACATGTAGCTTGATTAAGCTTTACAAATTTCTAAAATTCACCAAAGCAACTCATTCCATAAGTGATTGCGAAAAAATATGCCGGCGCCAAGAAGGTGAAGTGTACGAGATTAGATCAGTAATTATCTTATTTTTCAGCTGAGGGATCACCATAAAGCATTTTCATGATGCAATATTAATATTAGGCGATGAAGATCACGACATAAGGTTCACTTCAAATTTCAAACCGTTGCATATAGTTTATCTTAGCTTTACTTCAATATGCTACCGATTCAATTATTTCATGTTTAAATAAAAAAGCAATTAATTCTATCTCATCACCTGATGGAGGGAACCAAAATCAAAATTATTTTCACAATTAGTAATAGTGATCTTGATATTAAATTGGGCTTTTTTTTTTCATCGCTATTTCAACAACATGGTAGGTAATGGACCATAAAATATATTTCATGACCACAGAACATGAAATAGACCAGTGGTCAAATGGGGTACTTCCACTCCTTCAGCTGCTTTCAAAGGTTCTTTCAAGCTAACATCAAGTACTTTGTAAATTTCTCCCATCCCCTTCTGAACATTTATTTTTTTTACAAACCGTTGTCGTTAAATCTATATTGTCTGACTCCTGACGGATGAACTACTACCAGCTGAAACAAGTACAAATCGGTACATTTTAAGTTTTCCCTCCACTTTCAAAGTAAACGGTGACAAAGCGTTTCATCTGCTGAAAAAAACTCGAAAATTTGATTGCAGCCAAACAGATGCCACAAATTGGTGAGTTTTGGAGTTTTGTGATGAAAAACACCAAATATGTGACACATCTCTAATGTTTCTTTTCACTTATATCCGGTCGCACTTATAATCACTTATATCCGGCCGTCTGGAAATTGATATCTTTAAATCCAGAATTAAACAGTTGAAGGAAACTATGGTAGACGGAAAACTGCAGTAGGATATTCAGCAGTACAAAAATGTCCCTCACCAATTTATTTGTACCATTTCCAGAACTATTCCACAACTACCCGTCTCTTAGTGACAAAAAATTGCGTTAATAGGCACACAGTTCTGGCTTCTTTCCACCGCATCGCAGTAGATATTGTAAAATGGAATTAACATTTTCATATGACTTCAAATCGCTTACCACAGAATTTTCTTTTTCCTAACAAAGCTGAAGTTCATATTCCCACCTTTAATACGAGTATTACATATATATAAATAACTGAAAAAACCTAAATCGAGAAATGAATTAATGACAGACTCGACTTTACAGGAATAAAAACTGATAATGGTATGCGGAACGACCCCACTTGATACAATTTAAAAATTCGCATTTGTGAAAATTTACAAACAAGATGTCCAAAATTTATCTATTTGACAAAATTAATTCAACAACTATCAACCTGAAAGTATGTGGCAATGAAGATTACAAAGCCGTTCATTTCAAAAATGCTGAAGTTATCGTTGGTACTTTTGAAATGCTACTGAAGACTAGAAGTTTCATCTAATATCTGAACTACCGTTTCTGCAAGACCATTACATTACCATTTGCGAATACGCATAAAGAGAACTTACTACGAGAGAAAAAGTATTTGAAATGCAGATACCAAAAAGAAGAAAAGCTTTGCAATCAACACCAGAATTTAAAGTTTTCCGTTATAAGAATAGCTACAACTGCAAAAGGATGATAAAACCGGATTAAGAAAAAAAATAATGTATAAAATATATTAAGGCTACTCCAATAATATACAACCCTTCCAGAAATTAATTAAAATAGCGACAAACTAAATAAAGTCGCGCAATCCACAAGTTTAACGTAAAATCGGACTAAAACAAATAATTTATTTCAGCTAGAGATGAACCCCTCTTACCTTTCTAAAAATTGCAGTATTGCTTTCATTCTTTAGGAACATTTCCGATTACAGCATGATAAAGTAACAGTAATCAAGGGAAGCGAAACTAGTTGCATCTCAGGAAATGAAATGCAGCATGTATAAGGCAGAAATAAAACCACAAAATACGGATGAAAAACGTATCGTGAAATCGGAAAACTGACAATGAATTCCAGGAGGGCACATTTGCATTTCCAAATCCAATTAGAATTATAACCTATTTTAAAACAATTTCGTACAAGGATCATTAAACAGACTATGACCAAAATTTCACTGACAATGTTGAAGTGTAACCGAGTGCTTCGCTAGAAAACAGTCTGAATAAAGATATCTCTCCGCAGCCTCACAATCTGTGAATACGAGGAATACAGTAATTAGTTATGAAACATTCAAAGCTGCCCGCAATTATTGGAATGATTTGGAAATATCTGAAATCATTCAACACAAATAAATCTCCATCTCGAGTAAAGAAAATGACCTCTACGGTGAAACTTATGAGGAAACTACAAACCAAAACTAGCAAACGACATAATACTAACTAAAATCATGTTGAGATCACTTTGGCAGATATAGTACAGCCATTATTATGATGTTCCCGGAGCAACTGCCTTAGCTGAGCAATAGATGTCTCCAAAAGTTTAAGATCCTCATTCAAACGATTCGCTCTGAGCTTCTCTTCTTCTACCTGTAATAAAACAAACAACAAACATCACTTCTCAATTCCAAAAAACAAATTTTCAGAATACTTATAAAAACGAAGATAATTCTAATTATTCTACATCTGTATTCAAAACTCAACCCTACCATTAACCCCCTCGACTTATAAGATACGACTTATAATATACAATCGACAAACATGTTGAGCATCAAGCTGTTGCTTTTGTTCCAACAAGAAATATCGAAATTTAATTTTCTCTTCTATCTCCATTTTAAACGAAGAAATCATAGACATTAGAAACCTTCAAAACACAATAAAGTAAGTGGTAATTCTGTTAAACATATAAACTGCACGTGACAATTTATTTTTAGGGTCTTTAGCAAGGAAATTTCGATGTAGTTATGACTATCTTCCATCTCAAACACACAATACCGTGACATTAATTCTCATTATTTCTAGTCAACATATCAGAAATTGCAGTAGAAAGTTTAATTACGTGGCACGCAGAATACAGACAACCACTGCAGAAATTGAACATCTGTTCCACTGATTTCCAAAAATAAAAATCTAGAGGAAGGCTACGCTATTAGTAGCTCGAGATGACCAAGAAGTATTTTAATCAAACGCAACCCGTATACGTTTAGTGCAAAATTATTTCAATTTACATCGAACTTCTGAGCAATTAAAGTGAAAAATACTCCAGTTCTTAACAAAGGGACTTAACGGAAAACAAAATAAATCATTGCTAAGTAAAAGCACAAGAATTTATTTTGTGAGCGGTAAAATAATCAAAATAAACATTCAAGGAAAAGGCTTCCTAGAAAACAATAATCATTATATTTCAGACCTGTTTCTCGAGGTCATTTATTTTTTGCAATTTCTTCTGCCTACATTTTGATGCCGCCAGACGGTTACGTGCTCTCTTCCTTTCCAGCTTTTTTTCTCCTGTTCCAGTGCATCGTAACTATCACCGCTGCAAAGTTTATTATCTATTTAAACATCTGGATTGCTCATATTTCGAAAAAGTTGTGGCAAATCACTTTAAACAAATAATGTTTCAGTTTTCTGAATTGAAGGACCGAAATACAGCTAGTGACAGGAACAATGCTCGACAATGTCTTAAAGATAATGGATTGGATTTTCGTTAAATAATTGAGATAACCATGCGCAGTCATCATAATGAATATAAAACTACTGGAAGATACGAGAAGTCGATGAACACCGGCAAAAATCATTGCAAGATAAACGCTTTTATTGAGATAATAGATTTAATGATGTCCACCTGTTAATCTGATTTAAACTGTGTTATAAATGAACTCCGGTTTTTTGGTCTATGTTCATTAACTATATGTGATTGTTTTCGTATGCCATCAATATATCGCACACTCACGTATCACTGACTTCCTTTGCTGCACTATATTACCTTGAATTTCTCGAGCCAATTTTTTTTTAACTGCCATTAGAATTTAAAAAATTTTTTGTCTCAGTAAAATACTAAACTTAAACTTTTTTCCTGACCTGATCTCAAATTCATCTTTCCACATAATACGTTGTAAACATTTAAAAATATTCAAGAAAAAAGCTTAAATTACAAAACAGGAATTTCAAGGCCAAATCCTATATATTTCATATTAATATTACAAATATCGATAGGTACATTCTTTACGATCAGTTTTTTAAAATGTTTTACTCCTTCCCCACTTCAAATCAACCTATCATTTTTTCGTATCTGCAAGCAACATCTTCGTGGTTCTCTATATCACAATTTCTACCAGCATAAGTTCGGCAAAATTATCCTTCGGTTTTTTGCTTCTCTTAATGCATTTCGCTAAAAATTCAATCCAAACACAAATGTACACGGAAGAAAAAAAATTTAAGGCTGAAATGGAAACTGTCAAGAAAACATCAATTCAACAACGGAATTCAAGCACACATATCACCCAGAAAAGGCAAGGAATAAAATTTGCTTTTTATAAGATACATTCAAGAAAGTTCAAGCAAAAGATTTCTAAAACTGATTTCACTCCAAAATGAATATTAAATTACTGTAACTGCAAAGAAAACATACGAAAATGAACCCATAAAGACATGCTCCTCTTGACTTCTAGGACTAGTACTTGAACGTATGGATGATGTGCATGCTTCCATTTCATGGTTACTTTCACTGGTTGCATAAGTATCATAAGTCGATGCATCGTTGATACTCTCCGACTGCAGAGAAGTCACCGAACTGCAACCTGAAATTACGAATGTGCTTCCGTGAAGGATAACAAAACCAGAGCCAAAAGAGCAACTCATGCTGAAAAAAAGATTGTTGTGGGCCAGTACTGGTAAAACATAAAGATATATATATATATATCTTTCTCATATACGCAGCATAAATCGATATATAATAATGAACCTGGCAATTCATTTTTCATGGTTATATCATCGTGATACAGAGCAGCTGTAGTGGTTGATGATGAACCGACCGGTTGTTGAAGCACAGAGGCTGTTGTTGTTATTGTTGTTGCCGTGGACGACGTTGCCACAGCATAAGGATTAAGTTGGGTTGGAGTCAATTGGGTGAAACTGTAACCAGCAAGCGAACCCATACCACTCATAGCTGCCTGCATTATTACGGACAGTGATTCTCTGAAAAAAAGAACAGTTTAGAGCTTCCATTAAAACTTTTCAAATATTTGATAAAGAAACCAAAAATAATGAAACAAAATATGTTTTCACCAAGTTTAATCCTGTCCACTTCACCTCACAAGTACAGGAATAAGGACCTAGAATTCAAAAGATGAGCAGGTGTAGTGTCTCTCTAAAAGACTGCCATACAGTCAAACGCTTGATTAAGAAAGCAAAAAACTAACTTCCCGTTATTTAAAGCATACAACTGAAATTTAGATTATTCAAAAGAGAAGGAAAAAAATTTTATTCCAGGAAATGAATTTCAGTCAAACCTATCATTCAGATATACGAATAATGCGAGAATCACTTGAAGAATAAAAATAGGAGTTACCGACTTATGAAGGTAACCTTTCTACTTTTCATATCTAAAGCCACATGATAAGAATTCAGATCATAGAAAACTTGAAGTTTTTCTTAAATAGGACTGAAGGAAGCAAATAATAAAAAGAAAGAGACAGGGAAGCACGCATCACTCAAATCAATAGTAATACAAGCAAGCTAGGTCAAGTTCATTAAACTTGATAAATAGTAATAGCCACATTAGCCAAAGAGATGTCAGAAAGGATGATCCTATACCAACGCTGTACAGAAAAGATTTACTGTAAATTTCACATCAATTGTCAAACGTAATTAAACATATCTGAACCAAAATAGAAAGTCCGTTCCTGATCGATCCATCAATACGCATTCACAAAGCAGATAAGAGTATGAATGCGAAAATGGAAAAGTAAACAGTGCGTTCGCCAAATGGGGACGGAGAGAGGGCATAACATGCAAAGCTGCAGATGTTGCTGCTTGGTGATTCATCCAAAACAAGCAAAGCAAGCCAAAACATAGGAGAAATGCATTTGTATGCGTTCTTGTGAAGACTACAATAGTCATCAGTTCGTTTATTCGAACGGTCCGTACGCACTTCCGAGGAGTGTAAAGAGGAAAGATGGGGGAGGGGGGGGGGGAGATGGAATGGAGAAGACGGGGGAGTCGGGGAGGCGGGAGGTAAGCAAGTAGATACAGGAAAGATGTAAGTAGTGTGCTATGCTGCTAGTCCGTCCTGTTCCCCTGTACCTTGTACCTCTCTCTTCCTCCAACAGAAGCAACAGCATTAGTAGCAGCATTAGTAGCATTAGTAGCAGCAGCAGCATCAGCAGCATCGCAGCAGCATCAACAGCAGCAGCATTAAGAGCACTAGCAGGAGCATCAGCAGCAGCGGCAGCACTACCTCCTCCCTCTGCAATAGCTAGACAGTTTTCTACAAAATCTCGCTTTATAAGCACATCTGTAATATGGCACGACGAAAATCACACCTCCGTTCCTCTCCCGAGTCTCGTGATGTATGAACGCCCGCACAGTGATATCTGCTGATGTCATGCCTCGTTACAACTATTGTTCTGGTAGTTACTATTAACCAGAAATTGATAACTCTTTGACATATTACCCGAACAGGTTACCTGAGAATTTCATCCGGAAAGGGCCACACCACTGCCCACATTATGATGAACTTAGGTCAATATAATTTCTCCATTTAATCCTAATATACCAATCTCCACAGAACCAATAATCATTTTGCTACATGGAAGATATAAGGAAATATTTCTGCAATAATTACGAAAATGCATCTACAGACTTCGATATTATTGAGATACATGTGTGTGTGTCAAAAGTTCTGGGAAAATGTCGAAGTTCTGGAACAAGCTGCCAAATTACGATGGCTGTTAAAATTGAGTTACTGCACCTAGCTTTAAAAATCCAAGATTAAGAGGAAGCAGATTAACAAATAACAAGAACTGAACCAAAAAAAGTATCACACTCTTAAAGAGGATTAAAAAAGGAAGTTAGAAAGGAAACTGCAGTTGGGGGGGGGGGGGGAGGGGCGAGGAGGGAAATAACCTTTCAGCGACAAATTTTCTTGCCAGCTTATTCTTCAAACTAGAAATCCAAACTAGGAAATGATAACCGGATGAAATTTAAAAACTCTGGAAAGAAGCTTACCTGTTTGGACTAGTAAGCACAGGGCTTGTCACCGTTTTTGTTTGGTCGTTATTACTAGCTGATGTGGTAACTGACTGAAACAAAGGAGCCAAAAAACTCGGGGAATTGAGAAGTGCTGGCGATGGGACAAATCCATTCAACTGCTGCACCTGCGTCAGTGCATCTAAAATATTCTCCTCCTGTATTCCTGAATGCTTTCTCTATATTACATTTAAATAATACCGTTGAGAATCAACACTGAGCATAATGATAGTTCGATTACATCAAATTTCGATTCTCCTTTTGCGGAAAGTATCTTTTCAACTTCCAAATAAGCCATGTATGAGGCCATTATCTTCGTTTTCCAAGTTTATCCCAAAAATTACAAATTGTGAAGATAACGAAGTATGGTAAGATGACATTAGTGACATGTCGTTATGCATATATTAATTGTCGTATATTAATAATTGGTAAAATTTTAAACTATTGACAATCTATATTGAATTACCTACTCCCTGCTAAATTATTTATGAAATCGGTGTGACATTAAGTGGATAATTTAAAAACAATGAAACAATGGTCCATGAAAACTGAAAAAAGTAGAACAAATGTAAGAAAAATGCAACAAAACGTGAATTAAAGCCATTTATATGCTTTACCTAGCTAATCTTTTCATCTGCCTATAACAACATTCTGATCGCATAATCACCATCATATTGATAAATAAGTAAATAAAAGAAAAAATAGTAAAAGGTAGACCGAATCAACAGAGTTAACTAGTGGAAGTTAAAACAGAAAAAACAATGCCCCAACGATCCATACATAATATAAAATACTCCTCTCAAGAGTTATTTTTATTAATAATACTGTTGTACTTCTTAATAAGATGAAAATGTGAAGCACGTCCTTTCCTCTCTAGTAAGTTTCCTCAATTTTCAACTTCCAACTTTTAGCCAAATTTGTTGAGGTGATTCACCATTTTTAATATAAGTAAATGCGTTATATTTAAACCCCTAACTTGATGTAATGACCATAATGTTAGAAATAAGGTGACCTTTCACAAGAAGGGCCACTGAGATAGAGGAGTGAGCAAAGTGATGAAGGGAAATACCATATCTTCTGCTTACAAAGCTGTTTGTACACTCCGGCAAGCGGTAAATAAATACAAATTGATTTTAAATCGAAAAATGGGGAGCCTTTAAAAGTTGGGTATTCCACTGTGTTGCTGTAATACCTATTGCTATCACTTAAATTTTCAAAATCCAAAATTTTCTCTCAATATTAGAAGCAGTTTTGTTCTACCTTCTTTAAATGTAGATTGTTCAGAAAGTTCAGAGAAAGATAGACAGACTAGCTAGTTCACTCGAGACAAGATGTTAATTAAATACCCCGGTTGTCTCCAGTACTTTTAATTTTATGATTGTTCAACCGCACACATAAATTCCAGAATATGTTTTTAAGAATTTATGAGTTCACTACCTTCTCAATCGATATATTTGCCCTTCTCGAGACCAAGATAATAAGATTATTAATTTATACTGTCCAAATATTTTGGCTTAATGCAATTTCATTCAGTTTTTTACATAAATTCAATGTTGCTCCTAAAAAATATCAGCTTGCTTATATTATTTTTTTAGGGTCCCGACAGCAATGTTTCAATGATTTGTCACATCTTTCCTTTGCTTCAGTCTTGCAACTTAAAATGGAAGAGTGAGTTTTGTCATCCATTCGAATTCCCCAAATCTCTGCTTCAGTTTCATTTCATAATGAACTGCTGCTCCTATCACTCTTGAGACAACATATCATCTAATCTGTACAACTACGATAGTGAAAGAATAAGAGATGCATGAAACTCAGAAACATTGACAGACTAGTTCACAGGATCATCATACGATATCTCAATGCGAGAACTGAACGAGGCAAATAATCAGCAGTTTTGAGCTTACGAGAGAAATGAAAAAGAAAAACATTTGATAACGAAAATGGAAAACGACATTTATAAATAGCTAATGGGTTGAGAAGCGGATAGAGGTGATTAGGTGCGAGTGTAGTAACGAAAAATGAAATAACTAGATTTAAGACGTCTATGATACGTTTCAAATCTTTTGTAACAATGGAATAACAAAAGTCGTATACAGATCCGCGGACAAATGTACTCCGGGCTGCAAAGAAGCTAATAGAAAAAAAAGCAGAAAAGCAGAGATTAAAAAAGGAAGGAATGTAGATGCAATTATGTTAATCTCCTTGAAAAGTAACAACTACCCATACCTATGCAAAACAAGCGCGAGTGGGAAAAGCCATTTGCGCAATGCAGAAATTAACAGAATACGAAGCTTTCAAAGAAAAAAAGCATAAGAAAATGACAGAAGACTGCATAAACTTCAAGGAAAGAAGAAGAGAATTTACTCCGACGAAACAGCAAATATGTCGAAAGGCTCACAGCAAAACAAGAATGCTAACAATAGAAGCGTATAAAGAATTTGTTACGCTTTTTCTGTTTGCGTTCATCATCGGAAGTCTTGCCATATTTTCTGGTCAGAAGCATAGAGAGAGAAGTCCAGTAACCCGGAAGAATATAGCATAGCGGTCTACTTTTCACTCCCCCTTTTTGTCAAATCCGAAAAGATACAAACAATATTCCAACGAAATGCCTTCATGCTTCATACTTTTACAGAAAAAGAAGTGGATGAAAAAATCCTAAGGTAATAAAAAAGTTAAATCATGAAGGCTTACATCATATTGGTTTCTCTGATACCAGTACTAGTAAAAAAAAAATAAGGCTGAAGAATCCTTTACTGCCGAAGTCTTTCAAAGCCCTGCAGGTATGTTCAACAAACTAAAGTAAATATAAGAAAAAGATATTAGCGATAGATTAAATTATCTGCGGTTTGCAAATACGGCTGATTTTAAAAAAAGTTGAGAGAGCAGCTGGAATAAGTCGAGAGTAGTAAAAAAAAGAATAAGAAAGTTTCAAATTATTGCTTAAAATTTAAGAACAGCACTGTCAGCTAGGATTTTTTTTTCTTCATGTAGTAGTTGGAAATGAAATATAGACACCAACAGATACGCTAACCTGAGTAATAAATCAAGTAAAAGGTGATCTGATGATAAAACTGACCAAAGGATTGCTTTTGACTAATATGAATTCTCAATTGCACAAACACTTTTCATCCCCGGCTCCTTGCATTATTGTAGTAAAGTAGTGAAGTTCCGCAGAGGAACAGAGAGCAAAAGTAGAAAAGGAAATATGAAATAAATGATGCTCTTAGAAACATACTTGAATCCATATATGAATTCCTCGCCTTCATATAAAAGATATACTAATTTTGTGACAGTTTATCAGAATATGGCAGACACGCTCTTAGCATGCAGGACAGTAGATAACTGTTTACGTAATTAGATGATATTTGTGAGAAAAGGCTGCTTGATCATCCTCTTTATTGATAGATTTTTGAACAGAAATGATCGGTAACCACTGAAATGCAGTGGCAAAAGTGGAATAAGATCGAGTTCCAGCTGCACTGGGCATACGGTGCTTCAAATTTATAGAATTTCAGAGGATTTTAGCGACTGAGTCAATATTTAATTCGATTAGCTTTCTTACCAATAAAACCTTGAGCATATTGTCGCTGTGCCAATGTAACTTCAGAAGGACATAATAATTTCGTTGGCGTCGGCGTGGTTGTACCTGCAATAAACAATACCTTTACAATAAGGGGTGGCAAAATGTTTCAAATCCATAAAGACGTGAGTTTAAATTATATTTTTTATATTTTTTAATGGTATTAGTAAATCTGATTTAATCCAGCTATATAGAGAATTTTCCTGTAGAGTTTTGCCAATTAAAACCAAAAACTTCCTGTAAGTTCAAGCTTTCGGGATCAACCAGAATTACGACATATGAAAAAGATATTATAAGAATGACGTAAGAAAAGCCAACTTTCGAAAGCTTATCGAAACAACAACGAACAGTTAAAACTCAATAAACTATATCAAAACAATGCAACCATTACTGTATGTTCTCTGAAAAAGCTATAAAAGCTCGCCTTGGGAAAACATCTTCCCTATCGTTGGTGATGCTTTGATGATGTCCAATAGGTCTGCACTAATTATTTGCTTTTTTGATGATGTAGGCGATGAGAAATCAAGATGCATACTGCTTTTTAGCTGCTTCAATGATGCTGCATTCGGTGTTGATAAGTCAGTAGTTGTTGCAGTTGCAGAAGATGGTATTGTTGACATTTCTTTTTAGAAATCCTAAAAATTTGAGAACATCGGATAAAGCAGTGTCCGACAACGAGCAATCCGGGAACGTATATCATTAGATATCAAAATGCTAGAAGTAAATTAAAATGTGAAATACTCATGTCCTCCTGTTTTAGGATTAAAATCAACATAATCCACAAACAGTTGAAAGGTTCTTGGTGTTGATATTATGGATATTACCAGGGAACGGTTTTCAAAACCAGGAATTAGCTCAGTACAGGCAGTAAATTTGGAATTTTTCTTTATTTCTTACAATTAGATCATTACAACAACGACAACAGTGTTCAAGTTCGATCAAATCCTTTGAATAAAGCAAGTTCTCCAGGTTTCCATGTTAACTAATCCTTTCATCTCCTTGGAGGTGCCAAGGAGATATTATGTAGGAGAGGGAACTAAGGAAGAATGGTTGCTTGCAATTAACACAATTATGAAAAAAACCTCTCATTTTTTAATAACCCATAATCTCTCATTGATTAAGTCATCAGAACATTTTTTCATTCCATCCTGTATCAGAAAAAAATAATTCCACCCTTTCTTTTCATCCGGTGGATTCTACAAGGGGATAAGGTATCCTCCAGTTGAATCCATTCAGATAATAGGGCTGGGATGATGATTTGCATATCGGCCCACGATTCGTGTTCATTTATGTACGGAAGGAAAGGAGGAGGAGTACTTGGTGTTGGTAGGATTTTTCGTAGTGCCATTAAAGGCCTTACGATGTCTGACGTAACAGCGTATCGTTCGTAGAGTTGCAAAGGATCATATCTTTGCTATAATGGGAGTGCGTTGATATTTACGAGTTAGGCTAAGAACACTTCGGAAAGACACGATCTGAAGGTTTGAAGAAAAAATGATGTTTACACAGGAATCACATCTTCAAATTGTATTGAAATTTCCCAACAATATCTGTCGAAGTTCATTCTAACTTGAACTGTGACGTTTACAGGTAAAGACCCTTACTCTCTTCAAATTTCACATAAATATCATTTATGGGATATTTAATAGTAAATAGATTTCATGGAAGATGATAATAATAATGAATAAATAATGCACAAAGGATTGGTCGTACGGAAAGGAAGCTTAGCGAGTTCGCACTTTCCTTTATGAGACGTTACTCAAGTGTGCATAATACGATAAGTAGTGCAAATTGAGCTCCTATGTTAGTATACTAAGAAGTAATGAAGTGGCAAATAAATGGAAAGGTATATGGGAAATCGACATTCGTTACGCAAAGGTATGGCTGGCAAGATTATTTCGGGGAAGAAAGGGAAACTTGGCAACTTGCAACAAGTTTTCTTCGCGAGACTTGTCCGAAATCTTTCGGGAACTTTTACTCTACAGAGACAAAAGAGATCTGTCAACACTGTCAGCTGGAAGGCTCATCATTTTTCACACGGATACGAGACAAATGGACACGCTTAGACATACAGTTCAACTAAAGAACATCAGTAAAGATATACTCGATGATGGTTGTTGCTGTTTGTGTTGGTTCAGCCTGAAATGGGATGAGTCATTGCGGAGTCAGTTGGACGGATGAATCATGCTCTCTAGCACCCTCTATGAAGTATGCGATATTTTAAATGGCCGATGCGTACATTCTATTCACGGACTATGCTATTCCTCTCCGCACACTTCTCTTTCAACACTCTCTGCATGACGTCATCATTTTTAAAACAGCTCTTACTCCTATCATCCTCCATTTTCATCTCTTCTTGCATCATGTAATACGAATGTGAGGATGGGATGTTATCTGTGATGTACGAAAGAAGAGATTATCGATATATTGGAGAGCAGCGAAGAAATGCAGTAAAAAGAGATTCAGTGTATTCAATGAGTATTTGTGGCGCACGTGCACGTAACGGTAGCTGAATTGAGCCTGTATAACCTTCCTTCCATTAATAGCACAACTCATGTACCGCTACTATCACGCATTTTGTTCCCATGAATAATGATGTGAAATCCATGTCTATAAATAAACAAACAAAAACATATATAAAGGTGCAGCGAGCGAACATATCAGCCATCCGGAAGAGTAATTCTGTTGAATCAGGTAAAGCTAAGTGTAATTCGAGAAATCTTGTGCAAATTGCCAGGAGTCATCGATAAGGAGATAGGCATGTGTTGTCATATATCGTTATACGCTGTACACATTGTTGCATCATTAGCACAAATTAGTAAGTTGCATTTTACGATTTCTCCACTTTTCGAAAAATATTCCTTTTAAACCAATTACTCCATGAGTCTATCCCTGTATTTTGTCTCATTCTTCTACTGCTATGTTCATTTCAATTAATAACGTTAGGTTAATCCTTAGTATAAAACTGTTTGACGATCATTCATGAAATATGAAGTAGATGCACGATGTAAGCATCAAACCGTTCTGTTCATTTAAATCATCTACAGATTTATAGTAAGAAATGCTGTCATAACTTCCATCAAAGCATTCAAACCGACGAATCGTATAAGTGGGAGCAAGAACAAGTATCAGTAGCTCAGACGAACATTAGCAACACGAAGCATTGCACAGCGCTTCCGTCACACTTTATTAGTAAAGGCGACACGTCATCATGAAGAGAAACAAAGTGATAGCGCTGAAAAGCGGAAAAAGCGATTTGATAAAGGTTTTCTCGTTTTACCTTCCACAAAGACTTACGAAACAAAGAGAAATAGAAAAGGAAGAGAGAGACAGAGGAGAAGGTGAACAGAAATATCGTTTGTCAAAATAAATCGAGAAAACCGGACTGGCCTCACCGACGAACGTTGTTGAGTAGAACTGTCACGGGACAACTAAACAGCCATGTATATCATATGATTTCTACAAGTAAAAACCTTATGAATGCAAAGCGATAACCGGTAATGATTAAAACTTATGTTGCATGAATGGAAAAAAAAAGGATGAAATAAAACAGAAACCATAAAACGGAATTTAGACAGGTGCTCAGTATCGGTTTCACAGTCTTCTTATATGATCGTACATAATCTAACGCACCAAGCATGTAAATCTTAATACTTATCATCGAAAATGCTAAAGCGAAAGAAGAATGAGTAACCACTCCCAGTTGATCAAGATCAACTAGCAGCAATATATATATATATATATATATATATATATATATATATATATATATATATATATATATATA